GGTGTGGGTAGGGGGAGAGGAAGATTTCAGTCGGATAAGTCTACAGGGGCTGAAGTGTAGAGGTTGCCAAGGGGTAAAGAGTCAAAGACAGGCTGTTGCGGAATACCTATATTTAGAAATGGGAGGAGAAAGAAGAGATGAAAGGGCAGTCAAATGGAAGAAGAATCAGAAAAAGAGCAAGTCACATAAGCTAAGGGGAAGAGCATCAAGAAGAAGGTGGTGAACAGTGTCAGATCCTGCAGTGGGGGCAAGAGGTCCAAGACGGGGAAGAAGGACCTGGCTATGGCAAACATGTTCTTTGGTGGATGTCCAGACATTGAACAACCTGGGGTAGGGGGAAGCAGGTGTTGCATAAGGGAGGTCTAGACAAGCCTCACCGGATGAACCATTCTGAGATAGAATCATCTGCAGGGAGTAAAGCGGTCATGGCAGACCTTGGGAAGAATGGGAGGCTCTGGAATAGGCACTGGGGAGATTGAGAAATTGCACTGCCTTCCTTCCATTATGGTTTGTTCATGAGTTTATCTTTCAGAAGAGCATCAACTGCTCTAATTTGGGAGTAGGACTTACTGGTTTGTGGGTCCCTTGGGTAGTCCAGTCACCTCTGATATACTAGCCATGTGTTGTAAGTTAGACCATTTTGCCAGTACCCTTGAGTCCACATTCTTCACTCATCATTATCCCACATTCCACCTCATCTCCTGCTATTTATTGACGTCTGTGTCAGTGGGCTCAGAATTCCCTAAGTGTTTCCCTGTGCGTTATCTGGTATGTTCAGTCTATCTGTTTTAACTGCTATTTAGAGTCTAAACTTTCTCTAATAAAGTGAAAATTCATTCTGTCCATCTTGCATCTCCTTTTTCATTCTATTGATTGTCCCACTGACATGTTCCCTTTGTGTTTTGAGGACCTCTTTTCTCAGGGTAGTGTTGCTATCCTAGTTACTATTGTATTTGACTGTAAGTAAAAGAAAATCCAACTAATAAATAAACAAATAGGATTTGATCTTCTCATGTAATAATTAGAAATCTGCAGGTAGGTAGTTATAGGAGCTTGTTCAGCAACTTGGTAATGTCAGGGCCAATAATGTCAGTAAATCAGGCAAAGCTAATTCTTGTGGCCTTTTCCTCTGGTGGTAAAATGGCTGCTGAAGATCCAAACAACACATCCACACTCAAAGCAGAGAAAAGGGTAAGAGGTGGGGCCAAGAGATTTTCACCTGTGTGTTAATGGCCATAACCTGACGAATGGCTGCTACCTGCGAGAGGGGCTGGGGAAGTATTTAGTTTTTATAGCCTCTATAGTAAAGGAAGTCTATTGAGAAAGAGTTTGCTACTCGATGTTGGGTGAGTCAGCCTGATGGCTACTACAGCAATCTTTTATCATATTTTTGAAAGACTTTTTAAAATACATACTCTTAAAATTAGTCTTCCAACCTAATTTTTTTCTTTACTACACGTTTGCCTTGAGACGTTGATAAGGTATTTTAAAAAACCATTTCCAGGCTGCCTGCAAGCAAATAACTAAAAACTCTTCATTTTTTAAATCAACCGATGACTGTATTTTATACTAATTATAATTTCTGAATTTAAAAAATTGTGAGATTTATTTAGCTTTTTCTCTCCTGCCAGGATGTTCAATTTCCCCTCATTTTGAGTATTCCACTATTGCCTTCTCTTTTTTGAGGTTGAGAACCAGTGAAAATTTTATTGAAGGACATGTATGTGCCTTCTCCAGCTTTAAACTGTCACAGTAATAGGTTGCTTTTACTTTCCAAGCCCTTCTTTTTAAAATTGGTTAATTATTTTATTTAATAGCTTAATCCTGAACCAAGGGAAATGTTATTTGCTCTTTTATAAAGAAAACATAATATGCATGCTTTTTTGTGTGACAGCCTCCTTTTTAAAAAAAGTTTTAATTGTAGTGAAATACACAAAACATAAAATTTAATCATTTTTAACCAGTTGCTTTTTCACATTTCCATGTCATTAAGTACATTCCCATTTTTTTGCAGCCATCCCCATCATCCATCTCCAGAACTTTTGCATCTGAAACTGTGCATCCATTAAACACTAACTCCCCATTCCACCTTCCCCAGCCCTTGGCAACCAACATTCTACTTCCTGTTTCTATGAATCTGATTACTCTGAATATCTCATTTAAGTGGAATCGTACAATATTTATCCTTTGACTGGCTTATTTAACTTAGCATAATGTCCTCAAGGTTCATCCATGTTGTAGCATGTGTCAGAATTTCCTACCTTTTAAAGGCTGAGTAATGTTCTATTGCATGTACATACCACGTTTTGTTGATCCATTCACTTATTTGTGGACACTTGTGTTGCTTTCCTCTTTTGGCTATTGTGTATAATGCTACTGTGAATTTTCTGAGCCCTTTGGGGAACAAGGCAAGTTCTCCCAGCACACTAGCAGCACACTGAATGCTTTGAGTGAGGGTTGGGGGGGAGGGTTAGATGTGTGCAACCACCCCAGGAGATACTCTCTCTGCTCAGATCATGTTGATGGAGACTCTGGGTCTGATGGTCATGTTATTAGACATCAAGCTACCAGGTAGGAAAGCAACTATTATTTATTTTCCTGGAAGCAATTTGTAACCAATCACTTTTATTAAATAATATATAATATGTACACAGGTTGAGCTTCCCTAACCCAAAAATCTGAAATCCAAAATGCTCCCAAATCTAAAACTTTTTGAGTACCAAAATGACACTCAAAGGAAATGCTCATTAGGGTATTTCAGATTTCACATTTTTGGATTAGAGATGCTTAACCCCTGTGTATTCTGCAAATATTCCAAAATCCAAAAAAATCTGAAATCCGAAACACTTCTGGTCCCAAGCATTTCAGATAAGGGATACTCAACCTGTATAGTACATAATTTAATTTGGCAGTTAAATATGCAAAGAAAACTCACCTTTGCTAACTTCTAATAATGGCATCAACTATGATGTAGTAATCACAAATTCCCTAAATATTTTTGGTTTTGAAATTTTTATAATCCCCTTATGAACGATTAGTCTTCCTAAAGAAACTTTACCCAGGATTGCTTTGGCTTGTTCTCATATGTCCTAATATTTTCAGGGAGAGGGAGGGGAGGAAGTCTATCCAGGTGGGGGCCTCATTTAGAAGGGCCTCAGTAATGGGATTATGTTTCCAGATTTCATGGCTCGGTCCCAACAAAACGTGGAAGGTATTATGTCTGCTGGCTTTGGAGACAGAGGATTCAAATTTAAATCCTAGATCTGCCTCTTAGGAATGAGCAAAGGAATTTATTTGTCACTAACTAAACTCTAAGGGTATGCCAGGTACTCTTCTAGATGTTTCTATGTACTGATTAATTTAATCCTCATTACGAGCCTATCAAATAGGGATTGCCATGATTCCCAATTTAGAGGTAATGGAACTGAAGTGTGGTCCAGTGCAGTTCCTTGCCTAAATTCACTCAGCTAATTAATGGAGGTACCATGTTTGAACCCAGGCAGTCTGACTCTAGAGCCAGGACTCTTAGAGAGGCAGCCCTAGGAAACTGTGCTGGGTCACACCTGCACCAGATTCCTCAGATAGCCATAAGGGATAGATTTTGTCCCCCGCCAGCTGAGAAATCAGGCTTTTTTTTTTTTTTCCTTTTTGTCTTTTTTCGTGACCGGCAATGGATCGCAACCCTCAGTGTCGCGCCCGTACCGGACCGGGACCGGCTACGGGATTTTTTTTCCTTTTTGTCTTTTTTCGTGACCGGCAATGGATCGCAACCCTCAGTGTCGCGCCCGTACCGGACCGGGACCGGCTACGGGATTTTTTTTCCTTTTTGTCTTTTTTCGTGACCGGCAATGGATCGCAACCCTCAGTGTCGCGCCCGTACCGGACCGGGACCGGCTACGGGATCGCAACCCTCGGTGTTGCTCCCGCACCTCGCTCAGCCAGTGAGCGGCCGGTCTGTATGTGGGATCCGAACCCTCGGCGGAAGCGCCGCCGCACTTCCCAAGTGGTGCACTGTAGCAGTGCGCCACCGGGCCGGCCCCAGGCTTTTGTTTTTAACCAGTATTGAGGATCTTGTTAAAAGATCAAGTTACTCTGCTATACTGCCTTCTAGAAATCAGATTTGGGGGTGGAAAGGGGAGGGAAGGAGTAAGACAGCATATGGGAGAAGCGTTTTGCCAATGGCAGAGCACCATGTAAATGCAGGTAGAGGAAGTTATTATTTTAATTATCCTCTATAGTTGTTAAAAAGAAAAGCTTGATTTCTTAAGCTGGTTGGGGACAAAATATTTGTGGCCATGTGGTGGGGGTGGAAAGGGGAGGGAAGGAGTAAGACAGCATATGGGAGAAGCGTTTTGCCAATGGCGGAGCACCATGTAAATGCAGGTAGAGGAAGTTATTATTTTAATGATCCTCTATAGTTGTTAAAAAGAAAAGCTTGATTTCTTAAGCTGGTTGGGGACAAAATATTTGTGGCCATGTGATCACTACCTCTGAGGAGTCCAGTTTAGGTGTGACCCACCATCCAGTTTCCTAGGGCTGCTGAAACACAGTACCACAGCCTGGGTGGCTAAGAACAACAGAAATGTATTGTCCCTTGGTTCTGGAGGCCTGAAGTCTGAAATCCAGGTGTCAGCACACCTATGCTCCCCCTCAAGGTGCTGGGGAGCATCTGTGCTGGGCTTTTCCCCTAGCTTCTGGTGGTAGTCTTTGGTGTTCCCTGGGTTCCGCTGCATCACCCCAGTCTCCACCTTCATCTTTATGTGGCATTTTCCCTGTGTGCATGTCTGTATCCAAATCCCCCCTTTTTATAAGGACCCCTGTGGTATTGGATTAGGGGTCTACCCTACTCCAGTATGACCTCATCTTAGCTAATTACATCTGCAATGACCCTATTTCTGAATAAGGTCACATTCTGAGGTACTGGGGGTTAGGACTTCGATATATGAATTGGGGGGGTCACAGTTCAACCTGTACCAGCTGATGTCTCCTTCTGGTCTTAGTGGTGCCACCACAAGTGGGGGCGAGAATGAGCGTGAGGACCTGGAACAGGAGTGGAAGCCTCCGGACGAAGAGTTAATCAAGAAACTGGTGGATCAGATCGAATTCTACTTTTCTGATGAAAACCTGGAGAAGGATGCCTTCCTGCTAAAGCATGTAAGGAGGAACAAGCTGGGGTATGTGAGCGTCAAGCTACTCACGTCCTTCAAAAAGGTAAGGCTTGGTTCTCAGAAGCTGCTTCAAGGATTTCGAGAGTGTTTTGGGTTGTGGTTCTAAACATTTTTTTTTTACTTCCTTAAAACCTGATGGCTAGCAATTTTTTATATCTTCTGGGGCCTGAAAAGAAAAATGATCAAGAGAAAGGATTTAGGTCATTATTAAGAATACACTCTCATGCTATTTAAAGGGTCCTGGGCATTGGGACAAATTTTAGCTGGTGGCACTTATGAAACAATATTGTTTGTTCTTGGCCAAGTTCAGGCACTCTTGCTAGGCAGGTGGGTGGTTAGGAGGATTCTGTGCCAGGATGGGGGGCTCAAATGCCTTGAGAGACACCTGTGAGGCCCAGAATTAAATGAAATGCAAGCTTTTCATGTGTTAAGTTGAGTAAATAGGGAAAGAAGTGAGCACCCGGCACTCTGGGAGATGAGCCTCCTACAGAACTCCAGCATGCCCTGCTGTGTGTGATGCCAACATCCTCACCTGTACAACAGGGATTACGGGATGTCTAATATGTGCTGCTGTCTGGGCAGCAGACCGCTTGTCGCTGCTGTGTATAGATCCAGCGTTTGGGCTGTGAACTCCCTGCTTCTCTGAGAGTTGACAGTGCAGCTGGACTAAGAACTCTGCGTCTCCCATGGGGGACGTGCATTTACTAGAATGGAAAAGCACCACACGGCCTGTTGCATAATGAGATGTGTAACGAGTGGGCCCTGGCCCAGCTGCTTGTGTACTTTGTCAGAGAGCAGTGGAGGAGAGCTTTTCTCCTTGGAGGACTTCTCTGCCTCGCCAACTGCTGTACTCTGCCCTCTTTTCTCACTCTTTGTTCATTCATCAGACATATTCATTTTATCTGCTGAGTGCTGTGTTAGGTGCAGGGTGTACAATTAATGAATGTGGTTTACCCCCATCTTTGCAAAGCTCACGGCCCAATAAGGAGAGAGACCAGTGAAAGATTACAATCTGACCATAGACAGTACCGCCAAAGAGAAAACCAAGTGCTGTTGACAGAGAGTTGATCGGAGCCACTAACTCTGCCTGGAGAAGTGAGGAGTCTTCCCAGAGGTGGTGACATTGAAATAGGATCTTGGAGGATGAGGAGGAGTTTTCATGGTACAAGAGAAGAGAAGGAGTATTTTATGCGCAGAGAACAGTGAGCAAGCCCTCACATGAAAAGTGTGTGTGGATGATCCCAAAACGAAGCAGCCAGTGGAATCATCCTGCACGTTTCTTTCTTCCTTCCCAGGGGCCCCAAGAGTCAGACTGTTTTTCTTTCCTTTCTAAGCTGCCACTGATGGATCTATTTAAGAGTGTTCTTCTCTGTTGAAACCCAGCTGGAGAGTAGAGACAGACTGCCTAACACCTCTAAAATCAGAGCAAAGATTCTTTTCATTCTAAAGAGTTTTTTTTACTAATCACAATAGGAAATATATGACAAAGGTAACAAACATAGGGAAATTACAAAGTTTCTGAAAGTCTCACAGAGTTTCTCTAGTAATTGCACAGGAACTGAAGCTCCGTTGTTCCTTTTCTAAGGTGGTGCCTGGACACTCCTTATAAGGAGTCACAGACACAGGCCTTGGGTGCTCAGACTGTACCCGAGATCTCCCAGTGGCTTGCCAGTGGCTCTGGAGGGATGTCCAGTCCTTGCCAGAGTCTGCTTCTCTCTTGGTGGGATGTGGTCTTCCACACACTTCTCTATCCCTCGCCTTTGCCCGGGTACTTACTCCTTGCTCAGCCTTCAGGCTTATGAGGTGGTTTCTTCTCCTCTCCTGTTTCTGGAGAGGGCTCTGCCATGTGTCACCCCCAGAGAGCCACTGCCTGGCTTTCCCACACCTTTCACTGACCTGCAGTCAGCATCTTCACCCTTTCTGGATTCCTAATCCTAATTATTGACTCTGTTCATCTGAAATCTGACCCTTTTCCTGGGCCTGCTTCTCTGTGCCTATGACCTGTGTCATGGTAATCAGCCCCTTGATTCTGTGTGTAGCTGATTTGTGATGCCTGCACCCTGAGCCTAAGTCTGGGCCATTTCACCCAGAGGCCACAGGCTAGAGTGGTCAGTGCTCTCTTTCCAGGAGCCTGTCTGACTAATCGCCCTGTCAAGGTTTCCCCATCCCACCCAGTTAGTGAGCCTTCACTTCTTGAGTTAGATGAAGTTTCTGTTTTAGGTACGGGGGGCTCCTAGAGTTCCCGGTTTCTTTGCAGAGCAGCTGCATTGTCCTGGCCTCCGAGGACTCAGGGTGATCTCACCATTCTGGCTCAGGTTCCCCACCACACCCACCTCCACCGTATCTTTGGGATGACTCATTCTCCCTGGCATTCCCTCCACCAGAAGTGGGCCTCTAGAAAATTACTGTTTTATAATATAAATATAGCTTTCATATACTGTAGCGTTGGTACACACGATTTCCACCAAGGGAGGAGGAGGGACGGATTATTTCATCATTCTTCATGAGGCCCAATTTGGATTTAATTCCAAGTTGAAACAGTCCATGTTATTCTCAGAAGGTGTTAGAGTAAAAATGAAATCTGTTGGAAACTTCTCTGTACAAATGCAGAAATGTAGAAATACAGCTTCAGAGAAGTATTTGAATATTAAAATCTCCAAGTCCTGTCAAAGTGATAGCACATATTTGAAATAATGATAGCACATAATTATATGTGTGTGTGTCTGCATGTGTATATGTAAATATATGTATATTTATTTATTCGTTTAATCCTCATGACAACTCGGTGAGGTAGGCACTGTTAACATCTCCATTTTATAGATGGGGAAGTTGAGACACTAAGTGGTTGGATGAGCTTCAGAGAAGTATTTGAATATTAAAATCTCCAAGTCCTGTCAAAGTGATAGCACATATTAGAAATAATGATAGCACATAATTATATGTGTGTGTGTCTGCATGTGTATATGTAAATATATGTATATTTATTTATTCATTTAATCCTCATGACAACTCGGTGAGGTAGGCACTGTTAACATCTCCATTTTATAGATGGGGAAGTTGAGACACTAAGTGGTTGGATGACTGTCCAGATCTTACTGCCATTTGGAGGTGGGCCATGGATATGTGTATACAACAGGCTTGTTCCAGAGCCTGCAGGCTTAGCCTCTAACCTTGTATGGAATAGAATTATTTTTATCGTTATGGAGAGTTCTGTTGGACAGCCCTGCTCTAAACTAAGCTTCCCTTGTTTGAAGATACAGAAAGTGTGTTCATTCACTTATTCATTCACTAGGTTTTTGTGTGCCTACACATACCAGGTACGGTTCTAGATACGAGAATTATAGGGATGAGGAAGGGAGGGAGGGATATTATAGAGTACACAAGGGCAGACAATGACATTAGGTACCATTTCATATTTGCTTTGTGTCCTTCAGGTGAAACACCTTACACGGGACTGGAGAACCACAGCACATGCTTTGAAGTATTCAGTGACCCTTGAGTTGAATGAGGATCACCGGAAGGTGAGGAGGACCACCCCTGTCCCACTGTTCCCCAATGAGAACCTCCCCAGCAAGATGCTCCTAGTCTATGACCTCTTCCTGTCCCCTAAGCTGTGGGCCCTGGCCACCCCCCAGAAGAATGGAAGGGTGCAGGAGAAGGTGATGGAACACCTGCTCAAGCTCTTTGGGACCTTTGGAGTCATCTCGTCAGTGCGGATCCTCAAACCCGGGAGAGAGCTGCCCCCTGATATACGGAGGATCAGCAGCCGGTATAGCCAGGTGGGGGCCCAAGAATGTGCCATTGTGGAGTTTGAGGAGGTGGAAGCAGCCATCAAAGCCCATGAGTTCATGGTCACAGAGTATCAGGGCAAAGAGAACATGAAAGCTGTCCTGATTGGTATGAAGCCTCCCAAAAAGAAACCTCCCAAAGACAAGCACCATGACGAGGAGCCCACTGCAAGCATCCACCTGAACAAGTCCCTAAACAAGAGAGTTGAGGAGCTTCAATACACGGGTGATGAGTCTTCAGCCAACAGCTCCTCGGACCCCGAGAGCAACCCCACATCCCCTATGGCTGGACGGCGGCATGCGGTCACCAACAAGCTCAGCCCTTCTGGCCACCAGAATCTCTTTCTGAGCCCAAATGCCTCTCCATGCTCAAGTCCTTGGAGCAGCCCCCTGGCCCAGCGCAAAGGCGTTTCCAGGAAATCCCCACTAGCTGAGGAAGGCAAGCTGAACTCTAGCACCAGTCCTGAGATCTTTCGCAAGTGCATGGATTATTCCTCTGACAGCAGCGTCACTCCCTCTGGCAGCCCCTGGGTTCGGAGGCGCCGCCAAGCCGAGATGGGGTCCCAAGAGAAAAGCCCTGGTGCAAGTCCCCTGCTGTCCCGGAAGATGCAGACTGCAGATGGGTTACCTGTGGGAGTGCTGAGGTTGCCCAGAGGCCCTGACAACACCCGAGGATTTCACGGTGGACACGAGAGGAGCAGGGCCTGTGTATAAATACCTTCTATTTTTAATACCAGCTCCATTGAGAACCACTTTTATTTTCAAAGTTCTGACAAATACTTGGCATGACATAGAATGGACTTCAGTCCCCTTTGAAAGGTTTTGTATACATGTAGACCTCTTAATTTATATATTTGCAACGTCTATACGTTGTCTGGTATACCACGGTTTTAAGACCATCTCCTAGGTCAGCACACCCATTCCTCCCAGCATGGCCATTATTTTGTTGATGCCTGAGAGCTCAGAGGAGTTCTATGGTGCAACAGCAAGCAGTTAAGCTGACAGCATGGTGTCTTCTAAGACCAAATGTATGTTACCTGTCATGTGAATAAATAATAAAACACCCAACCAGGAGTGCTGGCTCCGAGGTCTGACAGTAGTCCTTGCCCATCTGACAAGGCTGTGGGTGTGTGTCTTGAGGCTCTAAGGATCTTAGCAGAGCTGCACTTCATCTGTGTACCCCAGGGCAGCCCCAAGGCCCTCTTTGGGGCCCCTGGCAGCCTGAGAGGTCTCTCATCACAGTGAATCTCACCAAGCAAAGGCAGCTTGGTATGTACTAGTGGTTCTCCAGATATGGTCCTGGACCAGCAGCATTAACATCACCTGGGAATTTGTCAGAAATGTACATTCTTAGGCCCTACCCAGGTCTACTCAAGCAGAGACTTTGGGAGAGGGGCTTGGAATCTGGGTTTTAACAAGCCCTTGATTCTGTGCACGCTAGGGTGAGAACCACTGGTGTGGACAAATGTTGTGGGACTCGGGTCAGTCCGTTTGACTCATGTCTCCCACTTAACTGTTTTGTGACATTGTGGACATTACTAAGCCCCCTGTGCCTCATAGTATCCCTGCAAAGTGCTCTGTCATGATGTCAGTGTCTGGAAAACAGCTGGCCCTCCATGAATGTTAGCTCCTTTCCCTTCTTGCTTTGGTTAACATCCCTTGTCATCGGAAGCTGCCTCAGAGTAGCAGTAAGAACACTGGCCTAGATCCCAGTGTTGGCTTATCACATGCTTTTGGGGGGATTTAACAGAACTTGTTAATAATTGAACAGTGATTAGTTGCCAGAGACTATGCTAAGATCTCTCCATAAATTATTTCATTTAATCCTTCCAACAACCACATGAGAAAGCTTCAAGTGTTATCTCTCTTTTATACCAGAAAAACCAGAGACTTTATATGGGTAACTAACATGTCTAAGTTTCCACAGCTAGATAGGTGGAGCTGGGCTTGGACCTAGAGGTCTGGCTCTGGAGCCTGCACTCTTAACCATTAGAGTGTACTCCACGTTTTAAAACCTTCTCACCCACATTCAACAAAGAACCAGAAAAAGTGCTAATACTTATTCAGCACCCTTCTATGTGCTAAGCATTTTGTTAGACACATTTCACTTATTCTCCCAGTGTCCCTATAAGGTATTATTATACAAGTTTTACAAAAGAAACTGCTGAGGTAGGAATATAACACTCATCTTAAACTATTGTGAACATGGAAAAAGTGTATTTTAAATAATATAGCTCTATACAAATTAGCTGGTGATTATTATCTGGATAGTAAGTGGGTGTGTCCCTTAAGACCCAGAAGAATTACTGTGAGCTAGTTCATGCCTCCAGGAATTTCTTGGGTTTGCCATTTCTACCACTATGAACCTTAGGTAGCCCAAAGGCTGTGTCTGGACACCAGGCCACCAGGCCTCCTGACTCTGGGCAATGCCATGGGCCCCTCAGCCCCTCCCTGTGCTTTACTCACTGACTCTGCTCCCACCACCCCAGCCTGGTCCCTCCCCACAGCCACCCCGCCTGTTCATCGGCCATTAAGCCATCTGGGCTTCACCAGCCCTTCTCGGTCTGGTCACATTCAGGCTGATCCACCCTGTCATGCTCCAGCACACCAGCTGCAGCTCTATTTTTAGATAAACTCGCATGGAACATAATTACTTTTTAAAATACCTACACCCTCACCTTTATATGGGCTTCACCAGCCCTTCTCGGTCTGGTCACATTCAGGCTGATCCACCCTGTCATGCTCCAACACACCAGCTGCAGCTCTATTTTTAGATAAACTCGCGTGGAACATAATTACTTTTTAAAATACCTACACCCTCACCTTTATATGAGAATATGGATGAAATTGCCCTTCTGTTTGTTCCATTGCCTTATGGGGCATTATGAAAGAACCCTGAATTTGGGGTCAGCAGATCTGAGTTCTAGTCATAGCTCTTTCAGTAAGTAACTGTTTGACCTTGAGCAAGTCATTTCACTTTTTTGGTGTATGGTTTCCCCATCCAACCAATGGCTAACAATAAGATGTTCCCTAAGTAACGCTACATATGTGCACGTGCTTTATAGACTGAAAAGGACTTTGTAGATGTTAGTCATTACTTATCCTCCTCTCTGATCACGTGCTTTACTCACTGACTCTGCTCCCACCACCCCAGCCTGGTCCCTCCCCACAGCCACCCCGCCTGTTCATCGGCCATTAAGCCATCTGGGCTTCACCAGCCCTTCTCGGTCTGGTCACATTCAGGCTGATCCACCCTGTCATGCTCCAGCACACCAGCTGCAGCTCTATTTTTAGATAAACTCGCATGGAACATAATTACTTTTTAAAATACCTACACCCTCACCTTTATATGAGAATATGGATGAAATTGCCCTTCTGTTTGTTCCATTGCCTTATGGGGCATTATGAAAGAACCCTGAATTTGGGGTCAGCAGATCTGAGTTCTAGTCATAGCTCTTTCAGTAAGTAACTGTTTGACCTTGAGCAAGTCATTTCACTTTTTTGGTGTATGGTTTCCCCATCCAACCAATGGCTAACAATAAGATGTTCCTTAAGTGACGCTACATATGTGCATGTGCTTTATAGACTGAAAAGGACTTTGTAGATGTTAGTCATTACTTATCCTCCTCTCTGATCATCTCCTCCAAAGACAAACCTTCCTTCTTTCGCTGTGGTTCTTAACTCTGGCCTCATGTTAGAATCACCTAAAGAGATTTTAAAATCTGTCCATGGCCCATCCTGAGATATTCTGATTTAATTGGTTCTGGGGCCTGGGCATGAATATTTTAAAAACCTCCTGAGGCCAGATGGGGTGGCTTTCAGTCAAGATGGCAGAATAGACAGTACCCAGCCACTCTCTCCCACAAGTCAACCAATTTACAACTATTAAAAAGGAATGACAGCCATGCTGGGGCCACTAAAGATCAGGGGAAGAGGAGGAGAGACCTACGGAGTGCATGAAGGTGGGAGAAGCCATGATGAGAGAAAAAACTGCTGTTTCGAGCCCCAGCCACTTCCAGGCTGGAGCTGCTGAGCACACCGAGCAGGAGCTGGCAAAAGCCACGGCTGTGCCCTTCGGATAGAGTTGCTTAGAGGCGGCAGGAGAGAAGAGGGCCTTGGTGGCCCCCAGGACAGCAATACCACTAATAGGGTTCACGTTCACCCACATAGGAGTGAGGAGCCACAACAAATGAAAAAAAGGATCCACTCAGAGGCTGATGAGTCATTGCAAGGGACCGGCACATGGCCTGTGTATTGCTAGGGCTAGGGCTCACAGACCCCTCAAGCCCGTTGTACAGACTGGGTCACAAACCCTTCACATGCATGTCCACGAGCTAGGTAATACAAAAAGATCCTGGGAGCCGTTGGCAGGTGACAAAAGCTCAGTCTGCAGCAGCAGCTTATAGCAGCAGCGGTAGCCTCCCGAAAGGTCCTGGAGGCTCTGGCAGCAATAGCTTGTAGTAGCAGCCTCGCCATGGGCATTCCGGGGGTGGGGGGTGGGGCTATGGATCAGAGCCACTTGTCCTTTATACTTAAGTCCATAACCCAGAACACCTGGATGCACATGCGCAATTACATTAGACAATAACCAAGGAACACCTGGGTGCATGTGCCTATTTACATCAAATGTTGGCAAGAGTCTGAACATCTGAGGGGCCCTGACCATTTTCCTTCACTTTCCCTACAATCCGCCCCTTTAGGGTCCCTTGCCGTACAATCTACTCATTCAGAATCTTCTGCAATGTTCCCTTAGTGAGGATAAATGACCCTTGCATTCACATATTACATATTCCATTCCAACAAGTCTTTAGCTTGTTGCGACACCAACACAAAAGTCCAACTCAAAAGTCTAAAGTCTCATCTGAGACTAAAGGCAAAACTCCTTTCAGCTGTGAGCCTGTAAAAATCAAAAATTTATCTACTTCCAAAATACAGTGGTGGGACAGACATCGGGTACACATTCCTATTCCAAAAGGGAAGAATAGACCAAGAAAGAGGAAAAACAGGCCCCAAACTAATCTGAAACTTAAAGAGGGCAAACGTTAAGCACAATGGGGCATCTGGGCCCCAAAGCATTGGGCAGCCTCGCCCCTACAGCTCTGCCAGTTGCAGTCCATTGAGCTGCCCTGGTACCTGCGGCTTTCCCAGGCTGGTGCTGCACATTGCCAGCAGCCTCACAGTTCCGGACTCCTGGTAACAGTCCTGCTGTCTTGGCTCCACTAGACATTTGTGGTGGTTCTCTGTGGGGGCTCCAACACGACTTTTCTGCTCCACATTGCTCCATAGATGACCTCCACAGGATCTCCACTGCTGCAGCAGGTCTCTGAGTCCCCTGGCTTTTTCATAAATCTTCTGAAATCTGGGTGGAGGCTGCCATGCCTCCACTGCTTTCATGTTCTGCCAGCCTGCAAGCTCAACACAATGTGACCACCACTAAGGTTTACAGCTTGTGCTCTCCAGAGCTGCTGCATGAACCACACTTGGGGCCGGGCCAGAGCAGCTGGAATGCAGGGAGCAGTCTCCCAGGAGCAGCAGTGCCCCAGGTCTGTCCTCCAGAGAAACTCAGTTCTCTTGGGCATCTGGCCTATGATGGGAGAGGCACCTTTCCAAACTTTCCCATTGTCTTGGCTATTAGCATTGAGCTGCCCCATCCCTGGCTCTTGAATCAGCTCAGCTTACACCAACTATTCACTCACACTGTCTTGGGCAGTTCTGCAGCGTTTGCCTACACAGTTCAAACAGCTGCATTCACTCATTCTATCAAGGAGTGGCTGCTCTGCCCCTGTGCATATCTGCGGCTCTCCTGTAACTATTACCACAGAGACAGGCACTTAGTAACAGAGGCTAGCCGGCCTGGTGGTGCACTCGGTAGAGTGCGGCGCTTGGGAGCGTGGTGGCGCTCCCGCCGAGGGTTTGGATCCCATATAGAGACCGGTCCGCTCACTGGTTGAGCGCGGTGCGGGTGCAACACCGAGGGTTGCGAACCCATTGCCGGTCGTGAAAAAAGACAAAAAAGTAAAAAAAAAAAAAAAGAAAGAAAGAAAATCCCTGTCTAGAGCCCCAACCAATTTATTTGGGCCGGCCTGG